CCCTAAAACCCTGAAGTTGTCGTCCGGCAGGGCACCGTCTTCCTAAAGGAAGGGGGCAGTCAGTTCAAGGCCCAGAGCTTTGAGGAATTCAGGGACAGGCGGAATTTAGGGTTACTAGGGTTGTAAGGGTTTTTAGGGTTTCGGGTTGAGGATGTGGGGGGGGGGGTGGGGGCTCCGAAAACAGAGCGCCATGAAGAGTTACGATGGTGTGTGTGTGTGTGTGTGCATTTTTTTCTGGGGGGGGGGGGGGGGTATATTAGGGGAAGTCTATTTGATGGAAAACCCTAAACCTAATCCGGAAGTCTATTTGATGGAAATGCCAATCCAGAGCCTGTTGGACCACGATGTAGTTGTGCCCTACGTTTTAGGCGCAGACTTGAAGCGAGCCGCCATCACGGCAGCAAGTAGTGACCGCTACTCTGCGTTTAGGGGTGTTTTGGGTGTTTTGGGTTTAGGGTTTAGCTTCTAGGGTTTAGGGTTTAAGGTTTTAGGGTTTAGGGCTTAGGGCTTAGCTTTTTGGGTTTAGGATTTGGGGCTACTCTGCCAGCATGATTGTGCTTGCCAGATGTCCATGACAACTATGTTGGTCGCCGCTGCTCGACTCGGGAAGCCACCCTGTCTTAGAGGAAGTAGAGCGGTTGATAGAGAGCATCGTGTATCGTTCTGCAATACCACCGGACCAACTCACCGGCAGGATCGCACACAAGCACAATGTGGTCCAGCAATCAGAAGCAGCAGAGCAGCCAGCAACGGAGCCGGAGAAAACGATGAACTCCCTGTCTCCTCAGATATGAGACTTCAAGGAAATTGTTTTTATCACACACAGGCCCCTGTGGCAGAAATATTTTTGTCGGAAAAATTACTAATAGGATTCCCTGATGGTCCCTTTGAAGTATACTATCATAACCCCCAATGCACTGTTTTAGTTATTCAGGCCAGCCCTAACCACTAAACGCTAAACCCTAAACCCCAAACCCTAAACCCTAAACCCTAAACCCTAAACCCTACAGTAGTGTCTATCGATCCCATGTGACTCCTGAAGCCCGCGCTGCTGGCAAGCTTGCGCCGCAAGATGGCAGAGCGCAAGAAGGCTCGCCAGGCGCTCCGCGAGAGGCCGCTTGGGTTTATAGGGTTTAGGGTTTAGGGTTTAGGGCTTAGGGTTTAGGGTCCAGGGTTTAGGGTTTAGGGTTTAGGGTTTAGAGTTTAGGGTTTAGGCCGCCTGGGGCAGGGTAGGGTAACCCCCCCCCTACTTGGAGGTTCATTCTTTCAAAAAAGTACCATGACTCTCCAAGTAGAGCAGAACATATTCCCCCATCACCTCCGAAATTTCCACAGTGGACGAAGGGGAACCCTAAACCCTAAACCCTAAACCCTAAACCCATTGGGGCAGAGGGCGCTGTGGAGACCGCAACAGCCCGGTAGTCTTCCCAAACGCAACGCGCCCCGGAGCCCCTACACCCTGCAATTCCGAGTAAGACGGCCCTAAAGCCTAAACCCTAAACCCTACACCCTAAACCCTAAACCCTGAACCCTGAACCCTGAACCACCCTGAACCCTAAAACCTAAACCCTAAACCCTAAACCCTAAACCCTGAACCCTGAACCCTGAACCCTGAACCCTGAACCCTGAACCCAAAACCGTCTCAGTCGGAGGCTGAAAGCCAACCACCAGGGAAGCCTGCAAGGCAGACCTCAGGCACCGGGAGCATCGTTTGAGGGCTTTTGGGGTTCTTTGGGGAGGGGTTTTGAGGGTTTTTTAGGGGGTTTTTCGTGTTTGGGGGGTTTTAGGATTGTAGCTGGCTTTGCGCAGCTTCTGGTGCGCATGAGCCCTTGTCGAAGCTCCCTTCGGATCACTCAAAACAGGCCTAGCCTAGGAGAGGGACCGCAAAGGGCATGGCTGCCGTGGAGTCTGTCGACGCTGCGTCTATTACTCGTTTGCTCAGCCATAGCCCTGTTCGGTGGGCTCAGGGGGTGTTTAGGGCTTACTACGGTTGTTGCCGGGGCAGATGACAGCGGCTGGAAAGTGAACTTTCCTCCTTTCCCTCTGTGGCTCCCTTCTGTGGGCTCTTTACACAAGGGCCTCCATTATACTGTTATACTTAAATAAGCTACGTACCAAACTGGGGCCCGTAGTTTGGAACACCCAAGTTCCTCCAGACCCCTAAGAAGTTGTCTCCATGGCGCAGGGCCGCAGGGAGTCCGGAACGAGCACCAGCTCAGCCCGCGCCCGAGCTGCCCACAATGCCCTGAACCTCAAACCTCTGAACCCTAAGCCTCTAAACCCTATCTAAACCCTAAATAGGCCCTAAACCCCTATATTGCTTTTCTTTCAGATAAAACATTAAAAGCCTCTCATCCTCTACACCCCATCTAAACCCCAAACGCCTATAATTTTGCTTTTCTTTCATCTGACACCAAAAGCGCCTTATGATATGGTTGTGCTCACATCCTGACACACCGAGGTGAGGCCGCTGACCAAGGACGAGGTTCGGAGCCCTGATTTCTCGGTTTGGGGTTGATAGGGTGAAAGTTTGTGTCTCAGCATGGTCACCGACCTGGTCACGTCGCGATGATGACAGAGCGACGTGTTGCTGCCTTCTTCCTCTTGCTCTCCCTAGACACCACCCATCAAGAAAAGAACGCCACTTCGCCGTAAGACCCTAAACCCCCAAGCGCTAACCCTTATCATGAACCCTGCATCCTGTATATCCTTCAGCCCTCACCCCGAAACCCTGAAGCCTAAACCCTAAACCCTATAAACCCTAAACCCTAAACCCCCTCCACCCTCTTTGCGCCCCGGACGCCTCGCGCGGCGCACCGCAGGCTGAGCTGGCGAAGCTGCAGCAGATGAGAGGAGAGCTCGAGGCAAGGTTGAGGGTTAGGGGGGTTTAGGGTTTAGGGTTTAGGGTTTAGGGTTTAGGGTTTAGGGTTTAGGGGGGTTTAGGGTTCCAGGTTTAGGATTGGAAGGTTTAGTTTGAGGTTTAGGCTTTAGGGTTTGTGGTTTTAAGGTGTAGGGTTTAGGGTTTAGGGTTTAGGGTGAAGCTCTCGCCCCTGGAGGGGGTATGGAGGAGGGTTCAGGGTTTTGGATCAGGTTTGCAAGGCTTGTTGAGGGTTTAGGGCTCATCTGAGCTCTTCCTGGCAGGCTCAAGGAGCTCTCAAGAGACTGTCGGAGGACGAGCGCTTGATCCTCGAACCGGCCCCCGCCCTCAGTGTTGCATACAGTGTTGAGTGCTGCGCCCGAGGCGCAGGGGAACAGGGCTTGATGTTCGGGGCGCAAGGTGTAGGGTTTAGGGTGCATCGTTTCGCTGCTTCCAAGGCACGCGCTGAGGATGGGAAGCTTGAGGTCCAGCTGGTGTCACGCACGCAGGCCGACGGGGAGGGGGAGACAGAGAGAGAGAGAGAGAGAGAGAGAGAGAGAGAGACGGAGAGAGAGACAGAGAGCGAGAGAGACAGAGAGAGAGAGAGAGAGAGAGTTAGAGACGCGTCGGTGGTTTGTGGCAGCCATGCCAGCCAGTATGGTGCGTTGCGGAAGACTGCGGTGTTCGATGAGTTGCGCATTTTAATTACCGCTCCTCATTGTTGTGGCGAAACGCTCGGAATTAACTTGCGCTGTCCTGAAACGAGCTGCCAGAATGGGCCGGCAGCCTTCAGCAGGAATTGTCCCTAGACCCGAAAACGGGTGTTTGCCGTGGACTTGAATATGCTGCCAGGCTCCAGACACTGCTGCTGCAACGCCAGAGACGCCAGGCCAGGAAAGGCGAAATACGGAAACCCACCTAGGTGTTGTGGTCGTGGGCATATCTTCTCACAGCCCGAATACCTAGAAAGGCTGCGATTGTTTTTTCATGCAATCTTGCTATGAGGGGATGCAGATGCTTGTTCGAACCTCTGCATAACCCCCTGGTTTGACCTGTAACCCGTCCAAGGACCCTGCATTCGTAGGAGTTAGGGGGGTGGGGGTGTGGATGGATGGGGGCGGTGGGTGGGTGGAGGGGGGTACCACCCTAAACCCACCGAGCACCCTAAGCCCCCGCAACCCTAAATCCTAAGCCCCCGAAAGCAACCCTAAATCCCAATGAGGTCAGCAGGCTTCTGCAAGCCTTCCTCCGCGTGTAGCTGCAGGACATCATGCACTCCTAAACCCCTCAACGGGTTTAAGGTGGGTTTGGGGCTTAGGGACTCTGAAAGCGGGAGAATGGTAACCCTAAACCCTAAAAAAAAACCCTAAACCCTAAACCCATGGTGGAATAGAGCTGGCTCTCAGTGCGAACCTCAAAAGACCTTGACACTCCTGCCGCATCAAATCCCAGGAGGCCCCTAAGCCTTCTAGAATTCTTTTCAAAGACAGTATTGGAGTTTGGTGTACAATATATATATATATGTATATGTGTGTATATGTATAGAGAGAGAGAGAGAGAGAGAGAGACTGAGATGAGAACCCAAGAATCCCAAAATATGCAAGCCTTCAGCCCTACCACCCCGAAAAGCTAATCTCCAGCTCCCTTTTAAAGCCCCAAACCCGAAGAACCTCAACTCTAACGCCAGAAAAGCCCCAGCCCTAAACCTCAAGGTTGAGAAACAGCATTGGCTCTGCAACGTGAGGGCCCTTGAAAACCGATTCTCTCATAGTTTGTTTTTTTGTTTGAGGTTTAGGGTTTCGATGCTTGAGGTGTTTTCTTCACAAAAAAAACTTGTGGTTTTTTGCGATTCATGGAGTTTCGGACGTTTGCTGTACGAGACGTACTTGCTACAATTGCTGCTGCTATCATGATCTAAGAGCCGATATTGGGTTCTCCGTGTCCTAAGCCCTAAACCCTAAACTCTCAAGGCTTGGGGATAGTGAGGTGAGGCTATGAACAAAATCCAGAAGTGAGTCCGTGGCCAGGACTTGTCCCAATGCTTACAGCGGAGGCTGCGAGAGCTAGAGGGCTTAGGGCTTTGGGTTCAGGGGCTTTAGGGTTTAGGGTTTAAAGTTTAGGGTTTAGGTTACAGGGTCTGTCAAGGAAACCCTGAACACCCTAACCCTGAAACAAACTTATGCTTCAGGGTTGGGGTGCCTAACCCTTAAACAAACTTAGGCTTCAGGGTTGGGGCGCAGCGTTCCTGTCCCAGATCTTCGGCGCGATGCTGCCCATACTTCTGCTTGACTATGGTTTTTTCCGCTGAATCTGCACGTGACAACAAGTTTGCTCCGGAAGAAAGCCATCCTTGAATGTTCAGGTCGAGTACAGGGGGGCCCTCTTGCCTAAACCCTGCTCTATCGAAGTCCTGAATGCTAAACCCTAAACCCCATAAATTTAAGAGCCTCCGGCTCAAGCCGCCGACCCCGCCAGAGCATAGTTGAAAGGTCTAAACCCGCTCGTCGGCTGAAAGGATGCTTTCCTCATCGCATGGTTCGAAGAGCATCGCAGCCTGCTCGGCAGAATCCCAAAAGTTGTGAAACGCTCGCGCCTCTGTGAAACGTGGGGGGGGGGGGGTAGGGGGTAGCACCAGGACCCAAACAGTTTAGGAGCTGAAGCAGCTTGGCACACCCGTGTTTGGGTGGGGGGGGGGGTAACAGGTGTGGGTGGCCTGGCCCTTTTTGATGCCTGATTACGATCCTTGTTTCCAAAAAAAGCCCCTATGCCCTGTGCGAAACTGCCTATGGTCCATGAGTTTACGCGGTGTGGGTGGCCTGGCCCTGCACGGAAAAGCTGCCGGGGTACCCCCCCTACCCCCCCCCCCCGCGTTTTGGGGGGGTAAGGAGGGAAAAAGGGAGGTTTTCACCTCCAGAAACCTATCCAACACGCCGCCAGGGTCGGCGGACCCTAAACCCTAAACCCTAAACCCTAAACCCTAAACCCTAAACCCTAAACCCTAAACCCTAAGCCCTAAGCCCTAAAGCCCTAAACCCTAAACCCCTAAACCCCAAACTTTTAGGGCCTATGGGGCTCGAGCGTTCAGGGCCAGGAAGGCACTCGAAATTCCCAGACCCCGAAGCCCTTGGAGGCACCCCACACGCCTTCCGGGGCCTATGCCGCCGTGCCCTGGCAGCTGCAGGCCGGGTTTAGGGTTTAGGGTTTAGGGTTTAGGGTTTAGGGTTTAGGGTTTAGGGTTTAGGGTTTAGGGTTTAGGGTTTAGGGTTGTCTGGTTGAACCCGAAAATAGTTTGATTAGGGGACAGGCTTTATGGGGCGTAGGGGTAGACGGCCTGTGGCCCCTCTAATGAGTTCACAGTGACAATAGCAGCCAAGGATGATCCCGGGCCGGGGGGAGACCTCCCTGAACCCTTTAACCGCAACCACCTAGGAGTATACTTGGGAATATTAAAAAAAATTGGTACTAGAAGTATTTTCTTGCTGAAGTTGCAAGTTCAGTATAGACAAGGGGTTTGGGCATGGATCGTCGAGAGTCAGGCGCGGAATGCGACGGCCGCCCCTCCTGCCCCGCAGTACAGCAACTTGGCTCAGTCATCCTCGCAGCTGAACATCTCCCTAAACCCTAAATAACCCCTAGATTGGGCTGTTCCCCCTTCTCCTCGCAGCCCTTAGAAGGGAATATAGTACCCCCTCTTCTAGTCCCGATTAAGGACTGTCAGTATGAGCCTCAGCCGCTCTTGAGGCCTCTTCCCCCCAGCAAGAATCGAGCTTCATCCTCCTCTCTTGAAACCCGAATTATGAACTCCCCGACCCCCTGTCGCCTAACAACCCTAACCCTACACCCCAAACTGCAAACCCTAAACCCTTAGACCCGAAACTCTACAATTCTCTCTACAATTCAGTCTGTCATGTTCTGCTTTGTCATTATTTTGACAAAAGGCGAGATGATAGCCCTAAACCCCAAAAAGCTTTCTGTAAGAAGCCAAACACTTTAACAAGCACCGCAAGAGGCTTTAACACACTAAAGCCGCCTGGGGTTCCGAGGCGATATCCTCCGGGCGGTCGCTGCCACGGAAGGCCCATCAGTGCCTGTGGCCCCCATCTCCATGAGCTCCTTGGCAGGGTATGGTTTAGGGTTTTGGGTTTAGGGTTTAGGGTTAGGGTTTAGGGTTTAGGAGGCGGGGGGGTACGGGGTGCAGTGCTCCTGTTTCAGCACTGCATTGTCAACATCGCCTGATATGTCTCGGAACCTCTAAGTGGCAACTGATTAAACATTGTTGCATGTGTTTCCGGAACCGCACTATACGCCCCATTATCCACGGTACTTTGTTTGGGGTGGCCTGCATCCCTAAACCCTGAACCCTGAACCCGAAGCCATGTCAGGTTACGAGTCTGTCCTCTCGCAGACCGTTGGCCCCGCTGCCCTCGACCTCAACGCACAGTGCTCTATCACGGCCAGCGGGTGCACGTGCAGGGGTGACTGTGTGTTTTCATGTAATGTTGGACCCGGATCAGTGTAGGCAGCCGCTATTGAGCGTTTTGCCGGAAAACTTATGGGCCCCCCCTTTAATGAGGGTTACCCCAACCCAGTTTATAGAGGAGGGACCCCGGACACTAAAGCGAGTCCAACATGACATGACATGTATGTGTATATTATTTATATATATATATATATATTAGACACACGTGCGTGCTTCGCACGCACTTAGTGTCTGCACCAGCCCACGATGCAGGGTTGCGTGGGAGTGGTGTAGAGGGGACGGCCCGGATTGAGGGGCAGCGGGGCGGGCTGGCTGACGCGGCCACGGGTGTGTTTTTGGGGTCCGGGTTGGGGTTTAGGACGCCGGGCTTCGGCTTGAGCGTTCTGGGGTTGGGATGCAGAAGTGGCGCTTTCACGTCTGGCGGGCCCACGGCGTGAAGGGGGTTTGGGGTTTGGGGGTTCAGGACCTTCGACTTGGGGTTGGGATCGGGTGGGGGGTGGGGGGGGGGGGGGGGTAGGCGTTCCCGGGACCCGCGCGAGGTGGCCCCAGCACGGGGGGGCGGAAAACCACCCCGCGAGGGGGGGTCTATTTATGTAGAATTTCTATAATATATGCATGTATGTATGTGTACATCCACGCATGGTTCTTGACAGCAGATGTGTCTGTCTACGCGTCTATCTCCTTCTTGCGTGAGGCAGTGTGGGGATGGGCTTAGTGGACTTTTGTAAGGTATGTATAGTTGGCCCATCTTCTAGACATGATCAGACCTCCTCAAAAGGATTCTCAGAGAAACCTTGCCCTAAACCTTATAAACCCTAAGCCCAGAAACCAAAAACCCTGAACACTGAACCCTGAACCCTAAACCCTGAACTAAACCCTAAACCCTAAACCCTAAACCCTAAACCCTAAACTCTACACCCTACACCCTACACCCTAAACCCTAAACCCTAAACCCTAAACCCTGATACGTTCTCCAGGAGTTTGGTCGAGAGATTGCCGAAGCTCGGAACCAGTACTCCAACCAAATGGCGAAGGCCACGGGATCGACTCGACCTTACTTGCATGGTTAGGGTTTAGGGTTTAGGGTTTAGGGTTTAGGGTTTAGGGTTTAGGGTTTAGGGTTTAGGGTTTAGGGTTTAGGGTTTCGTTGACCTGCACAATATCGGGGCACAAACTGATAAGGTTCGGGGTTTTTTAGGGGGGAATTGTAGTATCAGTACAAAGGGGCCTTATTCGTAGTTATTCTGACACCTGTAGTGGCAAGTTTTCGTGTTGCGTAGGCAGAGATGCACACCGAAGGCACGCTCATGTCAGTGCAGACGTTGCTGTGCAGGAAAAAGGAACACACTGCTTGCACCCCCACAACTGCCAGTAGACCCTAAACCCTAAACCCTAAACCCTAAACCCTAAACTGCCAGGTTCAGCTGCCCCCTGGCCGGCCGGACTACGGCCGGCAGATTGCCAGGATCGAGCTCCCTCCCGGCAACGTGTGGGGCTGGTGCGCCCCGGCTTCGGGTTTTGGGGTTTCGGGTTTAGGGTTTAGGGTTTAGGGTTTATAGGGCTTGGGGTTTATGCTTTAAAGCTTGGGGTTTCTGATGTTTGGGGTGGGCTTTCTCGCCAAATGGGCACAGGCCTCGGAGGCAGGAGCCTAGCCTACCAAGCAGCCTCATTGCAGCCTCAATGCCAATGCGTACAGAGCCTCTAGAGGCAGAAATCGGCACAGGCAGAAATCGGCCGCCTGATCCCTAAACCCTGAACCCTAAACCGTAAGTTCTTCAGGAGCCCCCCCACCCCCCCCCCCCCACCCACTCTGAACCCCGAAAAGCTTGCAACGGCCACATGGCAGGCAAGCGCAGATGCAAGCAAAACAGCGGCTGGATGTGCGGGATCCGAGCTTTGAAGGGGGGCGCTGTGTGCTTCTCAGGGTGTAGGGTTTAGGGTTTAGGGTTTAGGGTTTAGGGTGGTTTCGGGTTTAGGGTTTCGGGTTTCGGGTTTCGAGCTTGGCGTGGTAGGAGCTGCTTTAAGAGGGATGTTGAAGTAGAGTTTCCCTGCGACTCTTTGTGGGATCTGGGTGTGTCTGGCAACAGTCAAAAGGGTGACCGGCTTGCAGGCGCGGCAGAGATCCAAAATGGGGGTCAGGATGAGTACTAATCAATTCCCTTAGGGTCCCGTTATATTTAATTCTAAAGATAACCCCAAAACCCTGTTCTAATTATTCGGGCCCCTATATTACCCTCAGAATTGCGAAGAGATGCGCAACAGGTGTCTAGGAAATACCGTCCGGCGATGTGACAGCAGGTGCAGGAGGAGTTTGATGGCTATCGTTTCACCCCAAACTGCCCTAAACCCCTCAACCCTAAACCCTAAATCCCAGACCCCAAACCCTAAACCCTCAACCCGTTCTCCTGGGGGCTGCTGAAGCAACTTCTTGGTCCTTGCAGGGTCCCCGTCATCGGGGTGCTGCCTTACAACAATTCTTATCCCTAAACCCGAAACCCTAAACCCTCAACAACTCTTATCAAAGCATCTTGTGTGCCACCAACATCCAAATTTGTGGGTGCGGGGAGGGGGGGGTCTCCAAGACTCGGATCTTTGCGGGTTTTCGTATGTGGCGCATATTCGGGAAGCCCGAGAACCCCCAAAAGCCCAAACCTTGAACCCCTAAACCCATAACATGGCAACAAGCACATGCAAGCCCCCCCACACACACTACATAGGACCGTTTGTCTGAGGGGCACCTCATATGGTCAGTTCTAAAAATGATGGTCCCCTAAAATTTTAGGGTTAGGATTTGTGCCCTAAACTTTGAGGTTTACTTTGGTTTTATGGGTCTAGGGTTAAATAGTAGGGCCTGCCCCATAATCGTAACCCCAAAAAAGAACCGGAGTTTAGAGAGGTGACCAGATGAACCTCAGACTACAGGGTTACGGCCCAAGGCCGCACTCCAGACCAACGCCAATATCCGCCAGGCCGCTCTAGGGAACCTGCGTTTAGGGTTTAGGGTTTATAGGGTTTAGGGTGTCGGGTTTAGGGTTAGGGTTTAGGGTTTTGGGTGTAGGTGATGGGTTTGCGGGTTAGGGTTTGCGGCTGGCGCTATTTCGTTCCATTCTTTTGGAGGGGTGGGGATGCTGCGTTGAGGCAGCGCCTGAGCCAAGTGTCTTCTGCAGACGTGCTTTACAACATGAGGCAAGTGGCTCGTCGAACTTCCTTCATCGAACCTCTGTGCTTCATCGAGCCATGTGTTCGCACACAAAATGGAAGATAGGAAAACCCCCCAATATTATAGATCCCCAAATAGTCTAGTAGGATTCCCCTATAAGCAGAACCCTAATAAGCTACCCCCGAATATGGGAAGCCCCCAAATAAAACCACCATGTACATGGCCGACGGGTTTGTCCGACTGTCAGAGGTCAGTAGAGTAATCACCTGAGTGCCGATTCGAAAGTTGGCTGTCCCCGGAGAGCGCCCATGCCACGCCCGTACATTCCAAAGCTGCAATCTAGGTAGGCCGTTGGGGTATTTTCATATTTTTCCTTTTTTTCGGTTTAAGAGGATCACATGTAGGCACATATGTTCAGAGGGATTTTATCGGCCATCCTGGCCATCCCTAGTAATCTGAAAGCCTGGCAAGGCCCTGCAGCGGAACGTGGTGCGCATGCAGCGCGCCATGCCGCGAGCGCACCCGGGAATGCAAACAGAGTCTTCGCTGGGCTTGAAGGGAGGCAGGGATAGTGGGTCTGGAGGTTTCTGGGGGTTTAGGAAACCCTAAACCCAGAAACCGAAACCCAAAACCCCACCCTAAAACCCTAAACCCGGAACCCGAACCCCCCCCCCTCTGATTTAGACATCCAGACCTTGAGACGCCAAGGCATGGAGAGGAGCCGCCTCCTGCCGAGATGCCGGGCAGGCGCACATCTGGCACCTCAAGGGTCCCTTCTGGATTTGCAGGATTTAGGGTTTAGGGTTTAGGGTTTAGGGTTTAGTGTTTAGGGTTTACATACATGGCGAGTTCTCCTGAAATGTGGTCCCTTTGTGTGTACCTATTAGGGGCCGCCTTAGAAGGGCTTGAGAACTGACCATATGGTATATTATACTATTTTATTTGATGTTGTATTCGTGTATTTATGTGTGTGTGTGTGTTGTTCCTGCTTGCGTTTTATGTATGTATGTATGTATGTATGTATGTATACATACATACATATCTACGTAACATGTTTATATATCTATATATATATATGTCTATGTCTATGTCTATGTCTGTGTCTGTGTCTATGTCTATGTCTATGTCTATGTCTATGTCTATGTCTATGTCTATGTCTATGTCTATGTCTATGTCTATGTCTATGTCTATGATATGTATATGTATATATATATATATACATAGATATATATATATATGTATTGTTTGTATGTAAGGTCATTTCCCAAATAGGGGTGGCACAAATATGCCCCGAGAAAGTCTAATCATCCTTGTTAGAGGGCCCTTGTGTTCGGAAACCCCCACTAGAATTGCCCGTAGGGTTTAGGGTTTTAGGGTTTAGGCTTTAGGGTTTTAGGGTTTAGGGTTTAGGGTTTAGGGTCCAGGGTTTAGGGGGAGCCTGTTGCATTCCAGCAGCTGGAGAGAAGTAGTTGCCGAGGTGATCGTCGGCTGAAGCTCTCAGACCCTTCCTCTTGTGAACCGTTGCAACTCTGGCCTCCCCCCAACCACCCAAACTTCAGGCCAGACTCGTCCGAGTCACCAAGAAGGCATTTCCACAGGGTGAGGCTCGAAATCGAGGCACGTCGGCCCTAGATTTCCGGACCTGGAGCTAACGTTCACGCGTCAGGGCAAGCAGCTTCAGCATCATGGTTCGCAGTTGTGAAAGGGGCTGTTTGCGTCTTGCTTGTGGTCTCCCTCAACTGTATGAGGGTGTAGGATCTCCGATAGCTGTCATCAAAACTAACCCCCCTTAAAAAAACAAAATGCTCATGGTCATTCGAATTCAGAAAACCCTACAACTCTAAACGCCCTAAAACCCTTGCTTTCACCATCCCCCGACCCAGAGTGCATTCCTCTTCCCCATTTTTTTTTGCGGGAGTCGGCTGCAATAAACACGCAAACAAAAGCCATCCGGCTTTTGATTGGTACTCGTGGGATCGCTAAATCATGCTTTCTTTTAAGTTTCGCATTAAAGCGTGGAGCCTTCTACCCTAAACCCTAAGCCCTAGACCCTAGACTCTATAAACCAGGTGGTGAAAGCCTCGGACATCCCCGATGCCACGTACTTTGCCTCGTTGCGGGCTCGGCTCACCAAGAATGCCTAACACACTGGAAGGCCAAAAGGTCTAAGAGTCCTAAAACCCTAGCCCCCAAAAAAGCCCCCAAAAAAGCCCTAAAGAGACCCTAAACCCTGTTCGGGGCAGCTCGCGGTCGTTTGCTCGGGGGTGTTTAGGCTGAAGAGGGGAGAGGGGGGCAGGGGGGTTGGGTTGCAAGAGGTATGTATGAGAAGAGCGCCATACCCCCTCCCCCCGCTCCCCCCCACCCACGCCCCCTCCCCCCCCCCCCACAAGTGTCTGTTCAGTTGCAAATCCTGGCGGGGGCCCAGGTGCGACCCGTACGTCGTGGTGAGCATCGTCGACGGGGACCCACTACAGGATCCCCATGCGCTCGCAGGCAGCAGCGGCTCAAGGGTTTTTGCGCGGCCATGTGGGTGGATCTAAACCCTAAACCCTAAACCCTAAACCCTAAACCCTAAACCCTAAACCCTATGGGCAACTATCTCAGGGTTAAGGTACAAGCAAGGTCCATGTTTTTGGGTCAACCTGCATGTAGCGTGTGTGTCTTAGGGGAAGCACTCCTAGCTGTGAGGCGAAAAGATGCACCATAGGTGAGTTGTTCTCGGTGGCTTGAGAACTGTTGGCTTCTTCTGTTAGCCTGCCGGATCTTACGGTTGGGTCTGAAGGTCTTGAAAGAATTTCAGGCCTTCCCGACAGACGCCGTTTATGTTTGGATCTCAATGCTTCAAAGGACCCCCCCCCCCTCCCTTAGCAAAAAAAAATCCTGGCTTGGGGCAAAATGCGAAACCTTAAGCCCTCAATGCAATCCTTAATCCCTAATCGCCAAGGACCCCCGATCCTCAGAGCAACTCCTAAACGACTTATCGTAGACCGACCGAGGGAGGTTCGCAGTGCAGAGGGTTTTGGGGGATGAGGAGGAACATCCTAAACTGAATTTGAATAGCCCCCATGCGCTGCTCGGTCCCGAACGTCGCAGTACGAGCATGTGTAGGGTAGAAAAGACATCCTTGCAGCCCACGGCTCCGCCACCCTATGCCCTGTAAGATGAAACCCTAAGCCCTAAGCCCTAAACCCAAAGCCCTGACCCTAAACCCGAAACCCTAAACCCTAAATCCTAAACCCTAAACCCTAGGGTGAAAGCCTACTGTGCACCTTTGGTCAGGCTACCAAGAGTGGCGCGCTCTGCATGAGCAGTGGAGCGGTCAGACGCGGGTGCTTGAGGTCAGAAGCTTCTTCGTTTAGGGTTTCGGGTCTGGGGTTTAGGGTTTCGGGGTTTAGGGTTGTGTTGTTGAACTGTTTTGAGTTTGTTTACGGTTTGGGAGTTTAGGGTTTCGCGTTTCGGGTTCGGGATTTTCGGGGTGTCTCTCATTCTCATGCCAAGAAAACCCTATAATGCGAGGAGGAGGTTAGGATTAGGAGGTTAGGATTAGTTCCTTGACTGCGAGTTTGAAGAGATGCGTCATGGTTCGGTTAATGTTCGCTATTGAGGTCACAAGCAATGCGGTTGGTGTCTAGGTTCTCATATGCAAACCCAGAGATTTCAACTAACAAAATAATCGCATAGTAACACGTCATGGCGAGTACGTGCATGATGACGATATAGGATGTGCAACTCAAAAACTTGCTTAATTATTGAAATCTTGGGCTCCTGTCGTAAAGCGCAAAACCCTCAATCCATGTTGACCAGGGCACACGGGATCCTCAGTTCCGCGCGCGGTTTCAAGCGGAGGTTCGCAACAGAGCATCCTGGCTGCAAAGCTTGCTCAATATTTGGCACCGCCCACGTTGCGCAACCTTTCCTTCCCTGTGTGCCGAATCATGAGCTTTGACCCAGGAGAAAACCCACATTCACTTCCGGCTACTGGACCAGGACGCGGCAATGTGATACTGCAGTATTGCTGCATATGGGTATGTCCCAAATAGGAGTATCCCTTTGATACCCCCAAAATAGAATAGAATGCCTTGAAAGGGAAGGGTACCCCTAATTTCGTAAACCCCCCCGTATCTGTTGGGATGGCTTAAGAAAGGCCTTCGGAGTATCGGGTCTGCACTTCAGGACAGCATCTCCCACGCGGATCGCGACATCGGACAAGCCGAGGGGCTCAGTTGTGTTCTTTTCGTTTTTAGGGGTTTAGGGGGTAGGGTTTAGGGTTTAGGGTTTAGGGTTTAGGGTTTAGGGTTTAGGGTTTAGGGTTTAGGGTTTAGGGTTGGCGTTGCCCACTGAAGGCGGGTGTTCGAGCCGTTGCATGCCAATGTCTTTGCTGCGCATTGTTAGTAGCATTGCTTGGCTGCCACTACTGAAGGCTGGACAGTAAAACCATCCTTACAGGGTAAGTATATAGATTAATATTACAGAGTTCTTGGCCTTAGGGTTTAGTGAGTTTAGTTCTTTGCATATATAGGCGGTAGAGATACCTACTAATCACCATTAGGCAGCTGAATATCTGGAGCCCTGTCGTTAGTTTTTTTTCTTTGCCTGGGGCTCTTGGCACTTTAGGGTTTTAAGAGTGATTTAGACGGGAGCCAGAGGCGGCGCTCAAATTTCGAAGCTTCAAAGCACCCTAAACAGCTGCAAATCCCCAATCCCAAGCAGCTCTTAATCCTGAGCGGGTTTAGGGTTTAGGGTTTAGGGTTTAGGGTTTAGGGTTTAGGGCACCCTAAACAGCCCTCAGCCACGAATCCCAACCAAACCCTGTGTCCATTGTAGGAGAGAAAAAACACTCGAAATCCTACTGAGAACCCTACAACCTAAACACCCCCAAGCCCCCAACCCCAACACCTTTCAATAGGGTGTAAAGTCTGCGTTAGTCTTGGGCCTAGCCCTAAACCCTAAACCCTAAACCCTAAACCCCGAAAAGCCCTAGGCCGCCGTCGCCCTCCGGGACATCCTGGACGACTCCTGGGCCGCGGTCCGGGGCCTTGCCCTGAGGCCCCTCTATGTGCTTTTGGGGGTTTAGGGTTTAGGGTTTAGGATCTAGGGTTTAGGGTTTAGGGTTTAGGGTCTAGGGTTTAGGGTTTAGGGGTTGCCCTGAGGCCCCATCTATGCGCTTTTGGGGTTTTTGGGGTTTTGCGGTTTTTTTTCTGGGGTGATTTAGGGGGTTTGGGGCTGTTTAGACGGGGCCAAGCGCCACGAGCATCATGACCATCAGCCGCCGGGCCCTTCAGCAGCGGGGCCAAGGGCCGCGAGCATGATGAGCATCAGCCGCCGGGCGCTTCAGCCGCGGGGCCAAGTGCCACGAGCATCATGAGCATCAGCCGCCGGGCCCTTCAGCAGTGGGACCAAGTGCCGCATCATGAGCATCAGCCGCCGGGCCCTTCAGCAGCGGGGGCCAAGCGCCCCAAGCATCATGAGCATCAGCCGCCGGGCCCTTCAAGCATCATGAGCATCAGCCGCCGGGCCCTTCAGCAGCGGGGCCAAGCGTCAGCCGCCGGGCCCTTCAGCACCAGGCCAGCGGGCCCAGTGCCACGAGCATCATGAGCATCAGCCGCCGGGCCCTTCAGCAGCGGGGCCAAGGGCCGCGAGCATGATGAGCATCAACCGGGCGCTTCAGCAGCGGGGCCAAGTGCCGCATCATGAGCATCAGCCGCCGGGCCCTTCAGCAGCGGGGCCAAGCGTCAGCCGCCGGGCCCTTCAGCGCCAGGGCCAGCGGGCCCAGTGCCACGAGCATCATGAGCATCAGCCGCCGGGCCCTTCAGCAGCGGGGCCAAGGGCCGCGAGCATGATGAGCAGCAACCGGGCGCTTCAGCAGCGGGGCCAAGTGCCGCATCATGAGCATCAGCCGCCGGGCCCTTCAGCAGCGGGGCCAAGCGTCAGCCGCCGGGCCCTTCAGCGCCAGGGCCAGCGGGCCCAGTGCCACGAGCATCATGAGCATCAGCCGCCGGGCCCTTCAGCAGCGGGGCCAAGGGCCGCGAGCATGATGAGCAGCAACCGGGCGCTTCAGCCGCGGGGCCAAGTGCCGCATCATGAGCATCAGCCGCCGGGCCCTTCAGCAGTGGGACCAAGCGCCGCATCATGAGCATCAGCCGCCGGGCCCTTCAGCAGCGGGGGCCAAGCGCCCCAAGCATCATGAGCATCAGCCGCCGGGCCCTTCAGCAGCGGGGGCCAAGCGCCCCAAGCATCATGAGCATCAGCCGCCGGGCCCTTCAGCAACGGGGCCAAGCGCCCCGAGCATCATGAGCATCAGCCGCCGGGCCCTTCAGCAACGGGGCCAAGCGCCACGAGCATCATGAGCATCAGCCGCCGGGCCCTTCAGCAGCGGGGCCAAGCGCCACGAGCATCATGAGCATCAGCCGCCGGGCCCTTCAGCAGATGGGCCAAGCACCACGAGCATCATGAACATCAGCCGCCGGGCCCTTCAGCAGCGGGGCCAAGCGCCACGAGCATCATGAGCATCAGCCGCCGGGCCCTTCAGCAGCGGGGCCAAGCGCCCCACGCATCATGAGCATCAGCCGCAGGCCCTTTTCAAAAGCCGGTTGCTTGGATGTGTCTGAGCTCCGGGCATCAAGACCACGTGCTGATACTGCCAGCGACGAAAGCAGCTCACGCAACGGTATATATTAATATTAGCGCTAACATATATATATATATGTATATATACTTGATGGAGTACACTTGGTTATCGTACTCTTATACTACAGTAGAGCAAGTACGTACCGGACTGATCACCGGTTTTCGCATCGACGAGTTTTTCTGATCGACGAGTTCGGTCGCTGCTGAGGAGCAGCGTGCCTTTCATGATGCCCGTGTGGCCAGTTGTTGCACATAAACTGTAATCCCCCCAGTCAAAGCATGCCAGCAAGAGCCTAAGCATTTGCAATTAATTGTCATTCAAGGGCTACAATATAAACTACCTAGCAAACACGTACGAACTCGAGTATGCAAACTGCACAAAGCCCTGTACGTTGTTATAGTCCGGTTCCTATATAACCCGTTACAGCCCATACCAATTTTGCCACACATATACATATATATATATATATATGGGTGGTTGTCAAAATTATGATCCCTTTTTGGGGTACCCTAAATATTAGGTGCCGTATTATAATCGGGACCCAAAAAGGGGCCATAAATTTTGACAACCACCCATATGTATATTCCACACTGTATTCCCATACCATGCCAAAAGATCCATCATTGTCTGCCTCATTGTACCATGCTACACCCTAAGCCCCCCAAACCCCTAACCCTAAACCCCCCAAACCCTAAAACCCAAGCCATAAAGCCTAAACCCTTAAACCCGAAGATTACCGTGCAGTCGTCCAGGCCCATGGACAGGAAGAGCTCCCAGGCATGGGCCGCCATCCACAAGACACGTCTCCATGCACCCCGGCCATATTTTCCAGAAACCCTAACCCTAACCCTAAACCCTCCTGGGGATGTTGAGGGCTTAAATCGGCATCTTGTCAGATTGCAGGAGTCTGCCGAAGTTTGCTGTTTGTATGGAGGCATCGATAAATAGTTCCGGCTCTGGAGAACTACCATTTGCTTAGGAGCCACCCAAAAAACATTGAACTATTTTCCTTACAAGGGCAATATAGGGATGATGATTCTTAATTTCTTGGGGGGTTCTTAAGCAACTAGTAAGTTGATAAGCTCCCATTCTCCTTTCCATACAGTAGTGTAGCCCGATAGCCGTCCATGGACCTCTACGGTATCGACTGGGAGCTGAAAAGGAGTTCCTAGAAAATTCTGGCCCAATTGTATACCTGTAGATGTATATCATTTTACACATACAGATATGTGTATATATACATATATACATATCTACATATATGTATATTTGTATACCTATAGCAAAAAGTCTACATATTCTGTAATACATGTACTACCACCTACATAGGGACCTGGCTAGGGCCGGCACTAGAGGTGGCGATCAACTTCGAGGGGATCCTCGGGAAAGTGAAGACAGAAGAGGCCATGCAGCGTGGGGGCCCCAGGGGCCGAAGGGGCCTAGGGTGTAGGGGTTTAAGGCTTTGGGGGCTTCTGGGTTTTGGGTTTTGGGGTTTTGGGTCTGGGGTTTCAGGTTTGGGCTTCAGGGTTCAGGGAGTGGCTCACCCTAAACCCTAAACCCTAAACCCTAAACCCGAAACCTCTCAGGGAACTCTGCTTGGCGTCCTCATGCCCCATTTTGTTTTTGGGTGGTGGTGGGGGGGGATCAAGCGAAAGCCCTCGAGTTGGTATCATCTTACCCCGAAGCCATGCTCAGCCTCGGCTAAGGTCTATGGGCCTAAGGCCTTTTAGGGTTTAGGGTTTAGGGTTTAGGGTTTATTGGGTCCACAAGTCCTTTAAAGCATCTCCTCTCAGTCCCAGGCGCAGTGGCGGTGGCATCGACCTTCACACAAGCCGGCAAGGCTGGGCGAAGCCCAAGACGGCGGAAAGAAGAAGGAGAAGGCACTGCACGACACTCTGCTCCCTGTACCTGGACCTTAAGCGGTTAAAGGAGGGACCCCTAGAAGGGACCCTTATTCATTCCCTTACATAACACTAATATACCTCATATTCCACCTAAAATTAACAGTCCGATTACAATAGGGGGTAGTAGAATCCCGATTAAGGATTGGAAGTACAAGGGGGAGCATCCCAATCCATGTACCTATAGAGAAATAACGTTTATCCCTGGGCCTTCCAAGAAGTTCCTTTGTAGTAGTTCTCGTGCCCAAGTATATGCTGCATGCGGTACGAGGGCCCTTAGGGATACACCATAGGCACCCTCACCCCCAAACCCTAAACCCTAAACCCTAAACCCTAAACCCTAAACCCCCAAATCCTTAAACCCTGAAGCCCTAAGCCTGTAGCCTGGCCAGAGCTTGCCAGGTTTGCTGGGAATGTTCGGCGCCGGGTGAGCTACCTGGAATCCGAACTCCTGCCACGCTGGCGCCTCACCAGGCTTGCAAAGACCTCCTGTTTGTAGGCTTTAGGGTTTAGGGTTCAGGGTTCAGGGTTGAGGGTTCAGGGTTCAGGGTTTAGGGTTTAGGGTTTAGGCACATGCTCTCTCTTGCATGTGGTGATAGACTAGGACCGGGAGTAGGCCCTTGTTTACATTTTTTTTAGGCTTGGGGTTCCCTTATAATCCCCTTAAACCCAAAACAGGGTGCCCTTTTTATTCCTAGGCTACTCCCGGGTCGAGGAACTGTATAGGGGTCTTAAAGAGTTAGAATCGGGTTTTGTGGCGGTGACTGGAGTGCAATCATCTAGGGGCCATATGAAGCAGGGTTTATATTTCTGTTTTTGGTAAGTGTATATAAGGTTCCTTTTTAATATTGGTGAGTGTATATACCCTACTTCATATGGTGAGTTCTCTGAAAATTCTGGTCCCCTTCTTGGGGTACCCTAGATAAGATGGGGGGCCGCCTTGTCATCCCTAACCCCTAAACCCTAGACCCTAGACCCTAAACCCTAAACCCTAAACCCTAAACCCTAAACCCTAAACCCTAAACCCTAAACCCCAGAAGGGACCAGAGTTTGGAGAAAATGCCATATGGGGAATATCATTGGAAATTCTTCCGACCCCTACATAAGGCAGCGGGCATCTGTGATCCTCTGCCGGCAGCTCACAGGAAAAGGTCGAGGCCAGGGTGCGTTTGTCAAAGAGAGTTTTGCCCTAAACCCTAAACCCTAAACTAACCTTAAACCCTGTTAAGCCCGAACCCTAAACGAAGCTTTTGCCTCAAGCTGCCTAGCACTAATGCCCTGAACCCTAAATCATAATTGGTTCATGGTTTCTTTACCCTATACCTGTAACAATAAGCCCCGAAGCCCCGTTTAGGGTTTAGGGTTTGGGGTTTACCCTAAACCCTAGACCCGAGAGCGTCACAGGCGGTGAACGTCATCTACTCCACGCACATCCGAGCGTAGCATCAGAGATGCGTTCAGAAGCTGGGGCACCTGTATTGCTTCTCCCAGTACGAGCAGGGGCTTGCAAAAAGGACCTCGGCGGCAAGTGCACTCATGCCACTCAAGAAACAGTGCACATTCGGGTACCCTAAAGCAAAAAAGCCCTAAACCCTAAACCCCAACAACTGGAATCTAACACGTGCTGCACGTCTGATGCGGGTACTTCCCAAAATGGAGTTGAGCTTGGGCCTTGGTCAGGACGAAGATGCCCAACGCCCAGCACTGCAGACTCGGCGCCCTGAGAGGAAGGACGCGCTTCGGGTTATAGGGTGTGAGGGTTGCACGGTGCGGGTTTAGGGTTTAGGGTTTAGGGTTTGGGGTTTAGGGTTTAGGGTTTATATAGGGTTTGGGTGTTAGGGTGCGTGTTTGTGTTTTGGGTTTTACTGGCACTGGGCTCGTGCAAAGTCACCCCAGCATACAAGCTCGCCACCGCGGGACGTGACGTCAGTGCAGCATCTGTTCTATTGCGACAAACCTGACAGAAACTGCCGTGGCGCGACGGACCTCCAGGAACCTTGATGGGACCGTGTAATCCTAAACCCTAAACCCTAAACCCTAAACCCTAAACCCTAAACCCTAAACCCTAAACCCTAAACCCTAAACCGTTGCAGCCGCGCTGGAGGTCTGACAGGATGGTGGGGGTGTGACATCAGACTTCAGTATCCCTAAACCCCTAAACCCTAAACCCTAAACCCTAAACCCTGAACCTTAACCCGCAAGAATAGGAACTGTCAGTCTGATCTCGCCGCCCGGTGAAAAGAGGCTTGCAGCAGCGGGGCTAAATCTTGCCAAGCTTGTCCTGAGAGGGGCCCAGAGGGTTTGTTGGTTCCAATTTTAAACCCCTAAGCCCTGAAACCCTAAGCCCTAAATACCATCCTGTCTAAGCCCCCTACCGCACACGCCTCATGATCCCAATGCCCTCGAGGCCTCGAACAGGAGGACAAGAATGCTCTTGGGGTCCCATGTGCTTGGTAGCCCTGTGGTGCCCTTTCCAACCAACCTCCCAAAAAAGGGTACCCTTATCAAATCAAGGTTACTGGGCTACCAAGTGGGTGTGCCTCTCTATTTTTTCAAGGGGTCCCCCTGCAATGAGGAGTCGTAGAAGGATTCTTGCATTTTGGGTGTATGTGTTGGGAAAGACCCATCACAGACCCGAAACACCAACCCCAAACCCGAATATCCCTAGACCCCAGGTCTTAGAGGTTGGGCCTTGGCTTTTAGGGTTTCTATATCAGTGCAGGGCTTCTAGCGTTCCGGGTGAACCCCCAACCCTAAACCCTAAACGATGCTTTTCCCTCGAGCTGTCTAGCACTAATGCCCTGAACACGAGCCCTAAGTGGCGTAGGGTTTATTTACCGCATACCTGTAAATCCTAAACACTCAATCCCGAAGCCGCGAACGGATTTGGGGTGCGAGGGTTTAGGGTTTAGGGTTTAGGGTTTAGGGTTTAGGGTTTAGGGTGTATTCGCAAATCTCTTGGGAGGTGGTGAAAGAGACCATCCTCACCGAAAGCTTCTCTTTGGATGGGGCCGGCTCGAAGGCTTCCTGTCTGTCAGGGTTTAGGGTTTAGGGTTTAGGATTTAGGGTTTAGGATTTAGGGTTTAGGGTTTAGGGTTTAGGGTTTAGGGTTTAGGGTTTAGGGTGTAGGGTTTGGTAGGGTTTGGTAGGGATGTAGGGAAGGCTACTTAGGCCAAGTAGGGTTTGGTTCAGAGTTGCTTTGCATGTTCATGAGGCTGCCTTGTCTTTCTCATGATAGCTCGCAGCTGAACATGTTGACCCCTGAGCCCTCCACCCTAAACCGAAACATCCCTAGGCCCTACGAGTACGACGGAGGAGGCTTGTTCGGGTTGAGGGGTCTTAGGAGACTCTACAAATTCCCTACTGAAACCCGACCCGAGTTCTCAAGCAACCGCCACATGCGCAAAACACCTTGTCATTGTTCCTTTTAGTGAGGGACCCCCGTCACCCCAAAATCCTAAGCCCTAAACACCATAAACTTGGGATGCTCCCCCGCAAACAAGCAGTCCTTCATGGGGATTATAATCGGGGGGGATAATCCCCATCAAGGACTGTTAGTATCAGGGGGAACATCCCAACCCTAAACCCTCACCCTGCGTCCCCAAGCCTAAACCTTCATTGTCCTGCAGAAGCTCCGCGACGACCCGCGGAAGCTGCGGCCAGGGGAGCTGGTTGAGGTGGCCTCCGCGTTTCTTTTGGGTCCTTAGAAGCCTGTCCCAGACCCCTTTGGGGGGGCCAGGGGTGCAGGGGGAGTAGTAGTGGGAGTAGTGGTAGTTGTGTTGCGGCAGTAGCTGCAGCAGTACAGCGCAAGTTGGCGTTCTGCTTTCTGGCTTCTCCTCCGGCGGTTTAGGCTGAGATACTGGCATTTCGGCGCCGGCGTTCGCGAACAAGACCCCCAGATCATGTTGACCAAAACTGCGCAGGAGACAATTTTGGTGGTCCCTGCATTTGTGTTTTGTCTAGGTTGGGTTGGTGTACCCAAGAAAGCCCACAGTTGACATCAAACCTCACAGCAGCCCTTGCCTAAACCAGTCAAGCCACCAAGCCCTCATCTGGCCCGAAAGCTCTCAACACTTAGCCCTGCTGGTTCCGAGTAGGAGAGCCGAAGTTCCTCACTAAATCCCCCTTGAACAGACCTTGAAAGATTCTACCAAACAAATCGCCCGCACATGTGGTGCCCGGCACTACTGGGGACTTTTCTGAACCCTCAAGTGGGAGTCAAATCAACCTTCCTGAATTCCTCCCAAAACGTCTAGGATGACGTCCCCAACGCGCCTGGAGACCCTAAACCCTAAATCCTAGACCCTAAGCCCTCCCAAGAAAAACCAGAAGACTGAAGCCCCAAAGCCCCTGAACCCCCCGAAGCCCCCTGCCCCCTGGTTGCACCCGGGGGCGAAGCCGTGGCAGGTTAGGACTTGGATGACGAAGGATGAGAAGTCTGGCCTCATGAGGAGCCCCAGACATCTGAAGACCAGAGGGTCTAGGGTTTAGGGCTCAGGGTTTAGGATTTTTCGGGACCTTTGCTGGTTTCGCGCAGGGCATTGAGGCAGTTTGGTGCAGTCTCAGCCTCCGCCGGAAGCCGACGGCGAGCTAAAAGGCCCCTCTACAAGAACAACCGAGAATAAGGGCCGCAGGGACTTGGGGTTTAGGGTTTAGGGTTTAGGGCCCATTAGTAGTGCTATCATGGAAGTAGTTGCGCCCAAAAACTATACTAAATAGGGATGTTTGGGTACCTAATTCCAGAACTGAATAGGGCTTCTTCATTCTCAGGACGACGTTGGCGGGTGGGTCTTGAGTAACTTCGATTCTTTAGTCCCTTCTGAACTGAACACACTATCTGAACTGGTACATGGCCATCGCAGCGAACTCTACCGCAATCCCGAGTTGCACTCCCGACGCCCGAAGGCCCATAGCCTGACTCTCCGAAACTGAAATGGGGTTTAGGGCTATGCGCTTAGGCTTCCAGGGCAAGGCGAAGACACTGAAGACCTTACATCCTAGACCACCAGTCACAAGACCGCGACAGCCCCCCCCGGTCCAGCACAGTCCCAAAATCTCCCCTTCCCTCAAACCCTAAAGCATAAACCCTACAACCCTGCACCTTAAGATCCTGAACCCTAAACCCCACACCCCTACACCCTAAACCTTAACCCCCCCCCCCAATCACTGCATTTAAAAGCCCTAAACCCTAAACCCTAAACCCTAAACCCTAAACCCTAAACCCTAAACCCTAAACCCTAAACCCTAAACTCATGTGCGGGAGCCCGAGGATGAAATGTAAAGCCGTCAGCGACGGCGCGGTCGGCTCGCATCCCAGCGCCCCCCCCTAAACCCTAAACCCTAAACCCTAAACCCTAAACCCTAAACCCTAAACCCTATACCCTATACCCTATACCCTATACCCTAAACCCTAAACCCTAAACCCTAAACCCTAAACCCTAAACCCTAAACCCTATACCCTAAACCCTAAACCCTAAACCCTAAACCCCCACCAGGGACCGCAAGAACCGCAAACCTACAGGGGGGGCGGAGGGTTAGGGTTTGGGGTTTTTTAGGGTTGAGGGTTTGGGTTTGGGTTTTTAGGGCATTTTAGGGTTTAGGTTTGGGGTTTTGGGTTTTGGGGCTTGAGGTTCGTTTTTTTTTTTTTTTTTTTGGGGGGGGGGGGGGGGGGGGTGGAGGCATTTCCCAACATCGATCAAATGGGTTCCCCTATAGAGGGGATTATACTTGGGTACACGGGGTACCTCTATGTCGTGAAGCACCCCTTAAGAACCAACCGCGTACGGGGTTTTTGGAGCCATAAAGAGGTGCCCTTAATTTACTCCCGAATGAATATATACCCCAATTTTCGGAAACCCTCTTGGAGGATCTTGGAGGCTAACTTTTTGAACTGTTTGGGGGACGTCGAAGGGAACCCTGAACCTTGATTTCGCACATATAGGCTTCAGGGTTTCAGTTTAGGGTTTAGGGTTTAGGGCATAGGGCTGAGGGTTGTTAAAATTCCTCTAGAATATGGGCCCTTTTTATGTGTCCTTTGTTTATATCAGGCGGGCCCCTATTATTTAGGAGGGACCCTAATTTAGAGAATTGACCATAGAGGGTTGAGGTTTTGATATAGCATAGACCGGTCTGAACAATTGTCGGCTCGAGATGCTTTAAGCTTAAACACACATGTGCCTCGTATTGCACGTGAGAGTCTTCTTGCTCTGATTGGTTTCTTTCTAATTGCCTTTCTCAGGCCGGCCTCAGATGTAGGTGTCAAGACTGCGAGGGATTTGTAATTCTTTGGAGACTTCAAGTTCCTCAGTACGTGAAGGTCAAAGCTGAACCATGCCACTTGTTTTTATATATAACTTCCAGCATTTCCAGCGGTAGCACCTCGGATCATGCTCCGTGGTGCAGCTCTGGTCTTGGCCTGTGCCGCTCTTGGCAACGGCTACAAGGATCGATTCAAGCTGAGGTGACGTGGATGCAAATTGCAGCCCTCATTTAAGTTCTAGGGTTCAACCTGAAATAAGGCCGCTTGGTAGCCCAGTCATCCAATATTTAGGGTTTCGGGGTTTGGCGTTCAGGGCTAATTCGAAACCCTTTGCAGAACTGCAATCTGCAATCTCAGGCCCACTGGATCTTCCGTGGAGATCGGCAAGGCCAGGGCGGATACCAAACCCAAACCCGATACCTAAACCCTAAACCCTAAACCCTAAACCCTAAACCCTTTATTCAGCAGTGTGTCTGGCGGCTCTGGCATGCTGCCAGCATCTGTTGCTGCCCCCCCTCCTCCCCTCCCCCCCCCCCCCCCCCCCCCCCCCCCCTCCCCCCCCCCCCCCTCCCCCCTACCCCCTCATGAACATGACACTGTTTCAAAACATCATCTCACTGTTGCCAAACATCATGGTCAAGATCTTTACGAAAGAACTGTTGTGAGGCCATAAAAGTTGCTTTGACTAACCCCCGAACCTTATGAAACGACTCAGAACTACCCAACAACTCCGCCTCACAACAGTCCTTTCTGTTAGGGTTTAGGGTTTAGGGTTTAGGGTTTAGGGTTTAGGGTTTAGGGTTTAGGGTTTAGGGTTTAGGGTTTAGGGTTTAGGGTTTAGGGTTTATACCGATAAGCCCTTGGACCCCAGGAGTACCTCATCGACGACGAGGCCCGCTGGACACTTTCAACCCCTGGTTCGCGGGAACCGAAATTGAACGAAATTGGGGTTTTCAGGGTTTAGGGTTTAGGGTTTAGGGTTTAGGGTTTAGGGTTTAGAGCTTAGGGTTTAGGGATTTACTAAGTAGGCACTTGGGACATTTTACATTTTCCTTCATTGGGTTTAGGAGGGCCATATCTTAGGAATATTTTTCAGAGGGGTTTAATTATGGGCCATCCTAGTCTATCATTGTAGCACACTACGTATTCGACTCATAATGCACAAAGTTATTCTTTGCAAGCTCAGGAAAGATCCCGCAAGCATCCGGGACGTCCAGGAAAGTTAGGGGAAGCCAGGAAAACTAGCGAAAGCTCTGACAAGCTAAGCAAAGCTGAGAATAGCCATGAGAAGCCATAAAAGGCTAAAGAATTCCATCCATCATGTTTGCCTAAATATCTTCTACACTGTCGCCATTTTCTTTGTAGGGGCCTCCCGATCTCAACTTCCAGTTTACTATGAAAGCCTAGACAAGGTTAGCAGAATCTGGGAACAGCTAGAAAATCGTGAAGAAGCTATAAAAGCAAAAACAAACTAAACATCGGACTCTCAAGAAATAGCAACTCAGGTTTGAAGTTAAGGGGCCACAAGATTCCTGCACTCACGGGCTTATGCATCAAGTATCATGCACCTCATCAGTCTATGACGTAATGCGCTCTTGAAAATTTCGGGGTTTAGGGAGGGGTTTGGGGTTTAGGGCTTAGGGTTTAGGGTTTAGGGTGTAGGTTTAGGGTGTAGGGTTTGGGGTTTAGGGTTGAGGGTGTAGTGTTTAGGGTTTAGGGTTTAGGGTTTAGGACACAGATCTGCTAGGCGCAGTTTGTGCAGCTGGCGGCCCACATCCTCGCACGCCAAGGCGGGTGGGAGGGCTCGATGCTAAGAATTCGCCTTCGTAAGCCCAGGCGATGCTGTCCCTAGCCTGGGTCTGAAACTTCAGTGAAGCCGCTTAAGCCTTCAGTTCAAAAACCTCCACCTCCACACACACACACACACACACAAGACACACAAGACACACAGACACACCTCCCACGCAACAACTCCACGCTTGGAGGAGACGACCCATCGGACCCCTCTGCGTTCCAAAGCCCGCTGAAGCGGCTGACCATCTCCGCTCCGGCTCAGGCAAGCCTGGGGCTTTGAGGGTTTAGGGTTTAGGGTTTAGGGTTTAGGGTTTGGGGCTTAGGGTTTTCTAAGGGTTTGCAGGGTCGGTCCGTAGCCATTTTGGCTCAAGGCAAGCAACCCTTGCCACTCACACGTTGAGCCTGGCCAACTGGCCTGTCTCTCGTCATCCGGGTGGGACAGACCTCCAAATGTTGAACCCACCTCGTGGTCCCCAGGCCCGCCTTGCTGCAAGCGAGCACAGTGCCCAGAGCAACAGCAGCTGGTCCTTTGTAGCAGGCACTGTTGGGGATCAGATTGGCAGTGGCTGGCCCGCAAGGATCAGCGCATGCCCAGTCCATGCCCGAACCGCTCCGTGAAGCGATGATGCCTGGCTATGGCATGCAGGGGTATGGCATCCCAACCGGAGGTCTGGGTGCTACCAATTTTGGACAAGCAGCCCCTGCATTCGGTACGCCACCTGGTTTTGGCCCCATGGCAGGAGCTTTCGGCAACCCCCCTTTGAGCCATTCTGGGAGCCTAAGCTACACTGCTCCTACTCTCAGCTACCAGCCTGGGAACTCAGGGGTGAACTATGGAGAGGCTGCAGGTCTAGGCATGCTTGAAAGCTTTGAAGCAGGCCAGCAGAGGCTCTCAGGCAGTATCACTGCAGGGTTGGGCCAAGTCAGACCTGCAATGGCAGAGGCTGCGACTGCTGCTTTCGGGGGGACTGACTTTGTCTTCTCTTCACCAAATCTGGGTGCCGACGAAGACCAGCGCACAGAATCAGGCAAGAGCCGGCTGGCGGCGCTTGGCATGGTGCCAGATGCATTTGGACCACAGACGGCAATCCTGGCCTGACAGTGGTCCAGACGGTCGCAGAACTGATCGGGGCACGCACGCTCATGGCTGTGCCCAATGTTGCATCTGCCTCAAATGAACAGCTGAAGGTCGCTGGCGCCATGAAGCCTATGAAACTGGCAACCATGCTACGGGTCGATGAGCGCTCGGAGCTGAGTGGGCTGATCAGGGCTGGCCTTATCGACGAGGGTGAGCTCCACAAGATCTCTGAGCGCATCATAGCCAGGGCTTCCGAAGGCATGCCAGAAATGATTCGCAATCCCACTGCTGCAACTGAGATCATGCAGAGCCGCTTCTACCGCACTCTACACGTCAGCCTGCGCTCCACCATGGTCAAATTCCGGGTGAATGTTGGCGATTTTGACATCGACAAGGACATGTACCGGGATGGGAAGCCACTGGAACTCTTCAATCCGGAAGCAAAGTTGAAGGGAAACTCCCGGCTGCCTGACCTGGTACGTGGTGCCAACCAGGGAATGGCCAAGGGTGAGTTCCAGATATCGAACCTGCCCTTCATTGAGTCAATGGTCTTGGCCTTCATGGATCACATGAGGAACTCCATGAAGAGCGATGTTATCCCTCAGGTGGTGCTATTCCCTCCTACCGAGACTCCTTCCGAAGTGCCAAAAGACTGGTGCAAGAGCATCCTGGCCAAGCACGGGAACCTGGTGGCAAAGGATGAAGGGCCTGAAGGCAAGCATGTCACCCACAGGGCCACCATGGATGTGTGGCTGGTGACAGAGAGCAGCTACCCTCACATTGCCCTCGTCCTTCGACGTGACGGCATCACCAAATCAGGAGCCAACGGTGCCACCCTGGGGTTCAGCATCAAGGAGGGGGACACAGCACCTTCCTGCATCATTGTCGAACCTGGGGTGCAGAAGGCTCAGGTTGAGACCTCTGTCACTTTCCCTGCAGGCTACCTCAAGCCAGTGGCTGAAGTACTGGGAGTGAGCCCCCAGACAATCGACACATCAATGGAGGCTGCGTTGACAGGGCACAACCAGGAAGCTGATATGGGCCACAAGACAACCACGGCTGTGATTAGTCAGGGGACGGAAGAACCAGAACACCGTGACCCTCAAGTTCACTCTCAATGAAGCGGGTATGCGGAACCTGGAGGTCATGCAGGGCCTGGCCAGGAAAAACGCGGAGGAGGCTGCACGTGCCGAAGCACTGGTGAAAGAGAAAGCACTGGAGGCTTCTGCGGCAAAAAAGCACAAGAAGGCTGAGAACATCTCATGGGCCCTCAATCATACGTCGGTTGCCGCTGTGGCCCGTTTCGGCTTGGGCCGAGCTGCCACAGATGAGGGTGAGGCACATGCCAGCAGAACACAGAGTGGAGTGCTCAGTCAGTGGGGGAACCAGATCAAAGACACGGACAGCAACTGCAAGAGCGCCCGGCAGGTCTACGATAGGAAGGTCAATGAGCTTTGCAATTTGAAATCACTTGGCAAGGACAAGGCAGTGAAAGGCTGCAGTGCCATCACCAAGGCTCTGGGAGCAGTTGGCCTTAGCCTGAAGTTCAACCCACTAGAGCCAAACGCAGTGCCTGTCATTGCTTTGCGCGATAACATTGTGAAGCCCAGGCTGCCAACTATGCCAAGAGTGAGGCTTCAGGGAAGCCTGGTGGTGCCTTAGCACCTATCGACCTCCTCAACCAGTTGATGCTGGGTGGTGTGCCCTCTGACAGTGCCGATGCTCTGCAGGCTTACATGATAGATGTGTTCAGCCTTGAGAAGAGTGACCACCAGGAGACCACAAGGCAGAAAGTCGATGCAAACCACCGCAAGGCCCTCCAAAAGGCTGCTGCAGGAGCAGATGGGAAGATTATAGATGCAGGGACCTACCGCATCAACCCTCTTGCGACGGGGTTCCAACTGATGGGTGCTGCCGTGAAGAGCTCTGATGTAGAGCATCATCCACCAGAGGACCGAGACCCAAAGAGGGAGTTCTTTGGAGCCGAGAAGGACGGCGGGGAGGTCGTTGAGAAGAGCAATGGCACTGAGGGTGCCAACCAAGGGCTGCAGGTCGACTCGGATGTTGCCATCTGCTCAGGAATTGAGATCGCAGATGATGATCACCCACATTACGAGTACTCTGTGGGTGATATAATCTGGATCTCATACAGCGGCAACAAGGGCAGGGCGCTGACCAACGAGGAGATCAATGGTGGCGGTGCTCCGTCAGGAACTGTCACAGAAGCAGTCATTGTCTCGACCCATCCAGTCCTGCTGGCTGACCCGCATGGAGTACCTGCGTGGGCTGAAGAGACTGCCCAGCAGGCTATTCCCTGCACGGCAAGTGAGAGGGAGGAAGAAGACAAGAGTCAAGGGCACAGTCACAGTGACGGCACAGACCCCTCAGGCCATCACAAGCCCAAGCCCGGTGGTCAGGCTTCGGAGACCCTTCCGACTACGATGCCCGCGGGGATCAGCCCACTCTCGCTCCCTATCCCTCGTGCAGAACTTGGAGACCGGCAAGCCCCCAGGCAGAACTCTGGGTACCATATCTGCGGGCGATTCTATGGGTCATGACGCAGCAAGGGTCCGCTTCGAAGGTCTGGACCCTGAGACTATGGGCGGTCTGGAAGATCTGACGGACATCGACCTACATGGCAGCGAATCAACAGACCCATCCCTGCAACAAAGCCAGGCTGCCTGGGCTCTGGCCAACATTGCAGAGTCTCAGGCTGGCAGAGAGATCAAGCTGGATTTTCCAGGAGGTGTGCAGGCAGCCACGGTCCGAGTCACTCCCGAGGGTGTGGGCACCATCACCCAAGGGTCCAAGGTGATCACAATCCTCAACAGGTCCAACCTGGCCGCTGATGATGCCATGGCCCTTGCCTTCCAGATCCTTACAGTGGTGGGAGTCACGGGGGGTGTGGTGCGACGGATCTTGGTCGGCCTCACGACTGTCCATGGGTGCAAAGCCAAGGAGGGCAAGGCTGTGACAGTCCTCTATGCAAAGACCTCAGGCAGGGATGTGGTCATTTATCCAAGTGCTCGCATGCTCCCTACTACTATTCGTGATCCTGCAATCAAGAGCATGGAGAAGGCCGAAGTCCACTCTGTGGGCCGCATCAGCGTCCAGATGAAGCAAATGAAGACAGTCAGGCCTCTGGCCATTGGCTGTGTCTTGGGAATGGGTGATCACCTCAAGGTGACATCCACTTGGGCCGTCGAGAACAACCGCACATGGAGCTCCGTGGATCTGACAGAGGACGGGAACAGTGCCTACATTCTCCAGCAGGGGCTTGACTCTGATGTTCTCATGCCCTACTTTAAGCTCTGACCGACTCACGAGCTGAAGATTTGGTCGGAGATCGCAGGCAGAAGGATGCGCAGCCACATAAGTGCTTTGAGACCCGACCCTGCATCATCTAATTCTCTCGTGTGATATGCAAGCAGCTAAATTCGCGTTTTTTGTTGCCACAGCGGCATCACGCGGAAAGCGCGGACCGATTCGGACCTCTGATGCGAGTGCGAGTGCGAGTGCGGGTTTGCAGGGTCAACAGGGTTCAGGGTTTAGGGGCGCTTCACAGGGTTCATAGGGTTTTGGGTTTAGGGCTTAGGGGCAATAGGCAATCGGACCCCAACAGTCGACAAGACCTGGCAAAGAAGATTGTCCAACAGGTGGCGCCTGCTGCGGCACCCACTGCGGCGCTTCAGGCGGCAGGGTCTTTCGCCACCAAAATTCCCCGGAGGCTGCTTTTCAATCACAAGGCGGGGGGGTGGGGGGTGCGATACCGTAGGGGTCGGAATAATTGCTAATCATATCGCCTTATTGTCCCTTTGTAATTCTACTATAATCACTCCCCAAAACCCTATTCCAATTATTCAGGCCCCGATATTGTAGGGTTGCGAGCGCAGGGTTGACAGGGTGTGGGGAGTCGGGCGATGCACTCTTTGCCTCCCTAAACCCTAAACCCTAGACCCTAAACCCTAAACCTTTTGTTTTCCTGCAGCCTTGCGTGTGCAACAAAGGACCCTCCATCCCAAAATTGCTACAAGGCTGATAAGGAGTCCTCCTTGAATTTCGAGAATCCCTAAGCCCTGAAGCCCTTTATTCTCCGAACGCTTGTAAAGTCCACAAACTCAACCCTTAACCCTAAACCCTAAACACTATCTCCAAAACTCAGAAGCACAGTCCAAGCAGGTCAATCTTCTGAAAAAGCAGGACGCTGAGTTGAATCCGACCCTCAGCTCGATCTGCGGTTTAAGGGGTTGAGGCTTTCAGGGTTTAGGGTTTAAGGGTTGCAGTGGTTCTGGCAGAAAAGGCTGGGCTGCTGGAGGCTTGAGGGAGGAGCTTTGGTTGTTGTTGTTAATGTTGGCATAGCTCTGTTGGAACAGCCGCGTGTCAGACTAGGGCAATAGTTAAACCCTAAACCCCAAACCGTAAACCCCAAACCCTAAACCCCAAACCCTAAACCCTAAACCCTAAAGTCAAGTTTCAATTGTAGCTTCACGGGCGCTTAATCCGTTCCTTACCCCTTTATAGGGTTCTGAAATATGGGCCCTGGGGTCCCCTGGGTTGTAAAGGGTATATGAGGCGTATACAAGGGGGCCCCGTTTAAGGGCCTCTTCTAAGGCACCATGTAGCTACCCCTAAACCCTAAACCCTAGACCTTAAGAGAGTTAAGGGACCACGTAACTACCCTTAGACAAGCAACCCTGCCCAGAAGAACAGAAGTTGAGTCTGCCCCTCGCAGCTGAATTTTCAGGGCGACTGCTTCGTTGATTTAGGGTCTCTGGTTGAGGGTTTAGGGTTTAAGGTTCTTCTTGTTCATTCTTTCATCCTTTGCGTGCAGTCTGATGTGGATGTGATCCCCACCTCGCTTGCCCTTTTCCGGAAACATGTCCTTGAATCGAAGTGGCAGGTGCTCCTGGAATGTAGTCTTAGCTTGGAAAGCTGATGTGTGGAGCATGCCAGAAGTACCTCACACAGGTGTCACTAGACCATCAGCAAAAATCTCAGAAAGCCCTGCAAAGAAGGCAAGCAAGGTCGGCGAAAAGGTACTGTAGTGGACGAAAGCAGATGAGACGGATCAGGCACATGTCCCAGATTCCCCTACTTGCTGCTTGGGGGGTCAAGGCCCTAAACGCTACACCCTAAACCCTAAACCCCCTGAGGCAGGATATGCTGCTCCGCGAGAACGTACTCCACATCATCAGCATCTTTCCCGAGGCCACACATAACACATGGGGTTTAGTTTAGGGTTTAGGGTTTAGGGTTTAGGGTTTATATAGGGTTTATATAGGGTTTATATAGGGTTTAGGGTTTAGGGTTAGGGTTTAGGGATGTCTAGGCTGTCTGGGCTGAAGGGTGTAAGAATCGATCCCCTTATAGTAAGGACCCCAACAAGGTACCCGAGGTCCTGAACCCCAGGACCCTCCCGGCACCCAGCTCTTCATCTCATATGACCCGCAAGAACCCTAAACCCTTAGGGTTCGGGGCTTAGTTAGGGTTCATGGTTTAGGGTTTAGGGTTTAGGGTTTAGGGTTTAGGGTTTAGGGTTTAGGGCCCAAGCCTCTAAACTCCGGCTGACGCGGCCAGATTTCTCGCGAAGATGTCCACTTCTGGGATGATGACGACTGTGAGAACGGCTTGGGGTCTCTCAGCATGAAGGACCGCGAGCCCCGCAAGCCCCAAGGCTCTGAAACCCTCCTGAACCCTAAACCTTAAACCCTAAACCCTACACCCTGAACTGAACCATAAGCCCTAAACCTCTAGTCTCAAGAAGATTGGGCAAGATGGCAAGATGACAAAAAGACTGGGCCGGGTAAACAAAAACGAAACATTGAGCAAGGTCAAGGTTCAAAGTCGAGAGTTAGGGTTTAGGGTTTAGGGTTTAGGGTTTAGGGTTTAGGGTTTAGGGTTTAGGGTTTAGGGTTTAGGGTTTAGGGTTTAGGGTTTAGGGTTTGGGGTTCAGGGCCTTAGCCTTAGGGCCTGGCGTTTGGAGGATTCAGAACCTAGGGTTCAGAGTTTCAGGGCCTAGGGTTGAGGGTTCAGGGCCAGGGTTTTAGGGTTCAGGGCCTGGGGTTTAGGGTGAGGTTTGGGCTGCTGCTTAGTTTGGGTTGCGTGCGTGTGAAACATTTAATACCTTAATGGTATAGGATTCTCCGGGTGGGTGGGAGCTTTTCCGTCGCAAGAGAAGCTGCCTGACCAGTGAATGCTTGGACTTGAGATGGCGAACCCTAAGTCTAAGCCCTAAGCCCTAAGCCCTAAACCCGGCCTTGTCGCAGTGCCCAAGCCACGTGGTGGGGTTCGCCCCATAGCCGTGGGGGAGGTGCTTCGACGCCTTACTGGTAAATGCCTGATGAGCATGGCGCAGGAGGAGGCGAAGGCATTTTTCTGGCCAGCTCAAGTCGGGGTTGCGGTGCCAGCTGGCGCTGAGGCCGCCGTCCATGCTACCCGCGCTTGGTTCGGGCGACATGCCGCTGCTTCCAACAAGGTGCTTCTTAAGCTGGACTTCACCAATGCTTTCAACACCGTCTCTCGCCAACAGGTTGTTACCCAGGCCACGGCTCACTTCCCAGGTTTGGCGCGGTGGGTTGGCTGGACTTACAGGCGGCCAACGGCATTGCAGTTCGGGGCCTCCACCACTGTGCAGTCTGCCGGGGGCGTGCAACAAGGTGACCCCTTGGGCCCCCTCCTTTTTCGGCAGTCCTTCAGTCCCTGGCAATTGAGCTACGTGCCATGCCGCTGGACTTGGCCTTTTTCTACCTCGACGATGGCGTCCTCGCTGGAGATGTCTGGGAGGTTGCTCGGGCCTTGGAACATGTCCAGCGTCGTGCCGCGGAACTCGGGTTGCAGCTCAACCTCGGTAAGTGCGAAGTGGTTGGGGCTGGTCGGCTCTCGGAGTCTGCTCTGGTAGGTGTGCTACCTCCGGCGCTTCTCTACGCCAGCGACGGTAGCAGCCGCTTCCGGCGGAGCTTTGATCTGCTTGGTGCTGCTGTGGGGGACGCAGACTTCGTGGCTGCGCACTGCTCTGCCCGTATTGAGGCCGCGGCCCCGCTTTTGGAAGCTATTGGTGGGCTGGAGGATGCCCAGGTGAGCTTGCGGCTGCTTCGGTCCTGTGCTGGGCACACCCGCCTTGTTCACACCATGCGACGCACGCCGCCCAGCCAGTTATCCGCCCTCGACCGGTTCGACTCCTTGGTTCGGGAATGCTTTGCGGGGTTCACGGGCCTGCATTTGGACGCCGCCCAGCTGGAACAGGCTTCGCGGGACTTTGCCCACGGTGGTCTCGGACTGCGGTCCACTGTCCGGGATGCTCCGGCTGCCTACCTGGCGTCAGTTGGAGGCAGCTTTCAGGCATGCTGTGAACTTGATGCCTCCTATGGCGCAACCCCTCTTGGCGGTAACCCCTACGTGGCAAGCGCTCGCCTCGTTCAATGCCTTCCTCCCCCAGCCCATTGCCGTGGACACCGCTCTTGCTTCCAAGCAGAAAGTTCTCACCTCTGGAAGCGATGAGGCCAGTTGGCAGCGGCACTTGACGATTGCTTCGGTCACGGCCCGGGCCGTCCTGCGGTCTGAAGCTGAACCTGGAGCACGCGCCTTTCTGGCCGCCGTCCCAGGGGGCAAGACCCGTATGGAGTCGGCCGCCTTTATTGTGGAGCTCCGACAGCGCCTTGCGGTCCCGGACGCGACCTCGGACACCTGGTGTCCCCAATGCCAAGGCGTGCTGGACACTCACTCGTTACATGCTGGCACCTGTTCAGCAGGAGGTGAGCGAACGCAGCGGCACCACGCCCTCCGGGACACCCTATACGCTTGGACCGCGAGGGCGGGGCTGCAGCCTGAGCGAGAGCGGCCAGGACTCCTCCTCCCACAGCGGCCAGAGGAGGCCCGCGTCACTGCAAGGCGCCCAGCCGACATCTACCTGCCCAGTTTCCAGGGCTCTCCCGTCGCACTTGACTTGGCCATTGTGGCCCCTCAGCGTCAGGAGACCTTGGCCCAGGCTGCGCAGGGGGCGTTGGCTGCCGCATCCTCGTATACCCAGACCAAGGAAACGCACCTTGACACGGCAAGACTTTGTTCGGCCCAAGGAGTGCGATTCAAGCCGATGGTGGCAGAGGCCACCGGGGCCTGGGCTCGGGATGCCTCGGCAGTTCTTCTGGCTGTTTCTAAGGCTGTCGCGGTCCGCAGTGGTGAAGACCCTTCCATGCTGCACGCACAGCTGCTGCAAGAGCTCAGTGTGACCGCCCGGGGCCAGCGGGCCCGCGCGGTGCTCCGGCGCCGTGCTGAGGCTGCGCATGAGTGAGCTGCACTTGGGGGGACCCAGTGCAGGG